CACGTTCATCGCAAGGTCTGAAGGACCTGAGTTCGATTGCTGGTGAGGTCGTGCGTGCATACTGCTGAGGAGCTCCATACTAGGACGAAAAAACCGTAGTTCTCCAACTGATGTCATTTTGTGATGAGTACCAACGTGAAATAAATTATATCCCCGTAAACATCAAACTAGGTAATTTATTTCTGCTTCTCAATGTTTAACGTTTTCACTGACCACTGTAATCAACTACTCATCACATAGGAAATGACTTGCTGAGCTCATGATCGATTCCGTTATTCAGTTTTCTAGACCCAAAGTGATGTGTGTGTGTGTGTGCGCGCGCCTGTGTATGTGTATTTCAATGACGTTTATTTTTCGAATACTGAAAATAAACACGTGTGCAATATCAGTATTTTTTTATTCATACGCTGTAGAATCAATTCACGTACACGAACACACACACACACACACACACACACACACACACACCGAACACGGACGCAAGGTTTTGATTACAGACAGTCGACGAAAATATATCGCCGTTATTAGACAAACACATTATTATTCGCCATTCAATTTCTTTTTGCTTATTTTTACCAATAGTATATTTTCTTACAAATTGCATACATTTACCTATCGACCTACAACATACCTCCATAATAAGCCTATTCATTTATACACATAGACACCATGTATAAGCTGAGTCATCTGATATGATAATGGCACAATATAAACCTCTGACCTATACATGCAGCTGTCATAACTCTCAAATAAAAATCTCCCATATGTTGTAATATGCCGAATTCTGTATCTATGCGCTTACGTGTGTACGTGCGTGCTTGATTTACGAATCAATGTTATACCAGCATCATCATCATAATCATAAAAGCCTAGTTGACTAAACAATCTTCTATACCAATGCTTATATGGCTACAGAATTTAGGCAAAATAACTATTTTAATTGTTTTAACATTCATTCTTGATATTTGTGAAATGCAACTTGGGGGTTTGTGGGGATTTATTGATTGATTCCAGGTTGATATTCAACACGGACTGACATCATTTAGATAACTATTTAAAACTTAGGAGCAATGAACAGTTCTTTCGTCCTAGTACGGGATTTCTCAGCAGTGTGCACTCATGATCCCATCTAGCAGGATCAAACCCAGGACCTCCAGGTTCCGCGGTCGACACTTTACCGTTAGACCACTCGGTCGGAATCCAATGGTCCACATTTCCTACTTCTGTCAGTTCAGGATATTGCGCGACCTCCATCTAGTGCCGTCAATGAGTAACTGTCCTAATGTCCCACTTGGTTTACCCCACCAGTGACGACTTTTCATTAGAACTTCGGGGATCTCATCTCGAAACAAGTCAACTAATGAGCACTATAGAGTAGTTCAAATTAGAGGTTTGTGGGGATTTATTTATTTATTTCAGGTTGCGAAATCATTTGAGGGGGGGGGGAAACTATTGGAAATCTGAGAGCATTGGACATCTGTTTCATCTTAATATAAGACCCCTTAGCATTACGCACCTACGACCCATCAGGGACTTCAGGTTCATCGGCGGGCATGTTAACCGTTCAACCACTGGTTCGAAGTTCAATGGTTTATATTGTTGTACTTCTGTCAATTTATAATGTAGCATAATTATTAGATTTCATAATATGAAACAGTTGTGGAGTTTCCTATTCATCTAATCTTCTCCCTAACCGCTTACACTAAAGTTTGAATGAAAGTTTAAGATGTTCAAAGCCAATAAGTTGCTCTACAGTGATATCGGTGATGATAACATCAATGACACCCAAGAACAAATTTAGGTATGACAGCCTTGTCTGAGAGAAAATAAACAAATAAGTTATTGGTTGATTTGTGAACTGTCTACAGGTGTCTGAATCTAGAGGTGTTCTAATGCTAACTGTCATTCAGTCTTAATTCAGTCACATCACGTAAATGTCAATAAATAGATAGATGAATGAACAAACAGATTAATACTGTATCTGGTACAGAAATGTATTGCTTCAAGTTATCACACTTGACAGGAGAATACGACAAAAAAGTAGCTGGAAGAAGAGTGATATTAACATAGGGGAAGAATGAATAAATTAACTGGAAATACTAAAGGTTTCAAAGATCACAAAAAGTGTACAATTTCACTCCATTATTATCGATTTTGGGCAATATCACCAACGGTCTTCAATTGTAAATTCCAATCATTTCGAGGACTTCATTTAGTCATCCTGCATTTCTGTATACGACACAAGCTAACAGTCAAAGATTTCATGAACTTATGTGATATTTTGGTCTGGTGACTCGTAGCTTTCTTTTAGATTGCTGGTTGAGGTAGGTAGTAAACATAACACATTCTCAGGTCATCTCAGTCGGTCGAGGTTCACGACTTTATCATTTGAGTTAGCTTACTTTCCTAGCACTTCAGCCCTAAACTCGCCATTGTGTACACAGTTGATTCTGGCAATGAGTCAGTTCATGCATATACACAAAGACGAGTGCAGTATACTGAAGTTCACAGTTTTTTTCTTTTCTTTGGCTGTGAAACATGGCTATCAAATGTAGAGAACATGAGATGACTACAGGTATTTGATCATCATTACCTTCATAGCATAGGCCGTGCATAGTGGTGTCACCACGCAGATAACTCAGATGTCAAAGGTAAAGTTTTAAGGAGGAGAGGGGAGGAAAATCAGTCGACGAGGTTGTGAATGTGTTATTCATACCTAGTAATTGTCTCCCTCGTTGCACAGTGCTAGATGAAGTCGGTTCAGGCTGGAAAAAAAGCTCAAGGTAGCTAGACTAAACCATGGCATCATTGCATGCAGTCTCTGATTGTTGGTCTGAGCTATTTAAGGAGATGCAGACTAGCCGATTGGGTTTCACGTGACAACAGCAACCAATGGTTGGAGACTCTATGTGACATGATACAGATATATGCACACATTATTTTCATCTGAATTAGTATGTTGTATAGCTCAGAATTTTCTCATTCTTCTTTCCTCTCTTTTTACTACTTTTGACCTATTATCCTTTCTTCCTTCATCCTTCACCTTAATACTTTGCTACTCGTTTTGCGGATAACGTGGACGATTGAGCAGATATACCTGGTCCTGTGTAGACAAGGACAAGTGAGCAAGATTGTTAACAAATACATAGAAAGTGTTAATCGGACAGAAAGAGTGGGTGGCTAGTTGGACTACATCAAAAATACAGCCTGTTGGGGCACGAAGATGGATACAAAGATATGGCGTATTCAGCAACAGAAATGTATTAAAAGATGATCAAATTATTAATATTTTTCATCTGGCTGAAATATCTGAGATAAGCAAGATTGATTGGGTAACCAATTTGTAGTGTTTGGTTAACACTAGTTATATCCAATGAAGAACAAAGTATCATCTTGATAAATCTGGAATTCAAGTATTTCACTAAAGCCTTAAGTATTATTTGCATAGTACAATTATCGGCTAACTGTTATAGCATACTAATGAAGTGTCAGCGCTAGAGTTTATATATATATATATATATATATATATATATATATATATATATATATATATATATTACCAGGCAACTGAGTGGTCTGAAGTTACTTTTTGATACGTGTTATTTAAGTGGAAACAACATCAATCATTTGTTTGTCGGTAACTTCAGTTGACGAGTCCTAATTAAAACGAAACTCGCATCCTGGATTCCATTGCTACCCATTAAGTGGAAGATAACTGATCCAAAATCGTGTTTGGAGTGTTTTACAGATACCATTCACTGTAACCTGCTCACATTTATAACGTAATCTAGTGAATATAAGCTGTTTCCTTCACAGAGATATATGTATTTGAAGAATGCCTGCCACTGGAAGCCAAATGATTGTACACTTTATCATAATAACTTTATCTGTCTGAAGGAAAAACAGTTCTTTTCTTGTATAAATGTCTTTTTTGGACTTTTCATTTTAAACACAGCTTCGATGAATAAGTAACTGATCTAACTGCTGACTATGTAGCGCTGACAAGACTAGAATGGAAATGTTCATACAGAGTGAACACTTCAAAAGGCAGTCAGAAAGAACTACAGTCACCTAATGAACACTGGAATTGAACCGCTTCCTTTTATCTTAAATAGAATGTGAAAATGTGTTGCGCATACTGAGACCGTACCTAACTCGACGCAAGACAGCAGAGAAAACAGGATTAGGCTGTGTGAAGTTTTCAAGTGAGCAGATCAAAACGTAGCACTGTTGGTTTGGGTCATGTAACTGCTTGGCTAAGGTCCTTAGAATGATAGAAATCAATTTCGCACGATTCTTCTCGATATGACTCAAAATCGACCATACATATCGACTGAGCAGATGTATACATGCATCTTTGATTATTCTTCATCTATTTATTGTCTCTGCTCTCATGCGCTTTTATCCAGCCTATTATCATTCTTTTTCTGTCCACTTCTTCGTTATATGCTGATGTGAAGTATCGCAACTTGAAGTGATACACTCTACGTTGATCTGTCTATGTATTTTGAATAACCATACTTTAGTGAACAACCGAACTTATGCATCTCACAGTCATCATTTCAAGAAAAGTAAGATAAATAATTCATGGCATTATGTTGATGAAACTGTCTGAATGGAAGGTACTGAGCCACCCTGTGCCTATACGTATATTATTAAACAAGCCACACCTACTGCGTAAGAGCTAGTGATACTCCTTGGTTGCCCAAGCCTTGATAGGTGGGGTGGGGTTTGAAAACGCGGCGCACTGGTTGGTAGTCTTCTCCCTACAGATCCAATGAGACTTACTGAGATGACTGCAGCCTAGTAAATTGATCTCAGTAAATATGTGCCACCCTAGTTTTCTTTTCAAACTTCCATCATCATTTCAATTTAATCTCTGTCGCCATTTATTAATAATGCTAAAGTGTATCCTTTTGTTTGTTTTTTTCCAGAAAATAATCATGCTTAGAATAGCCTTACTTTACTTACATCTATTGAATATTTTTCTTTCTCTGAAGGTTAATTCTTCTGGACAAATAAATCATGATAAATTGGTTGATACAATTATGATGACAACACAACCGATAGCAACAACAACAACAAGTAATAATATATCAGAACAAATGAATTCCAATGTTTATGATCTACCTGAACCAGAATGGATAACATGTACATTGAAAAAGTATCATGAATACAGTATAACTCATAGTAAACAGAATATTACTTCAGGATTAACTGTAGGATCTTGTTCCTCAGCGACAACTACCACCAGTGAAGTTGGAGGCATTGGTTGTGTTGGTGGTGTTGGGGGTGGTAGTAGTAGTACTAGAACAGGAGGTATACCACTTGACTATGAACAATCTTTATTTGATCACATTAGTTCTGAAGACATTATTATTGATTCATCTGATGAGATGACAATGAATCTACCTGGTCAATTCTCGCCTAATGCATTAATGATACTCTTATCTAGTCTAGCTCAGTTATCCCCGTATCCACGATTAACTGAAGCAGCTCAATGTGGACAATTGACATGGCGTCGGTTATTAACTACACTGGCACGTTATCGTTCAGACTGTTTGGTACTACAGGCAAATTTAGCGGAGATTAAATCGAATGCTGATCAAATGCAGTGTCAGTTGAATCAAATCGAAGCGAATTGGTCTGTTATTTTTCGTGCTATGCAAATGTCTGAGGCTGCACTAGAAGTTAGTGATTGCCTAAATCAGGTAAGTATCCAAGTCTAATACTGTTTCAGCTATTCTGTATTCGAAGTGTTTGACAATTTTTTTTTATGGAAGTTACAGTCAACTCTCAACAAGTGTGAGACTACTTATATTCTTTTGAGTAGTGTTCGTTTATCAGCTAAAATATCCTTTAGAATTCCTATGGAATATTACATTTTGGTGTGTATAAAAACACTTCGATTTTAATCCACCTTGAAATATTTATCAAAAGCCTAAATATCAGACATATGAATCAGATGACGTTTTTGAATAAGTCTGACTATTAATCTGAGCCGTGTTGGGAGTTCTAGACTACCCGGTTGGGGTCGCCAAGACCATAAGAATCAGCGATTGAAAACTTTTAATGGGACCGCTGAAAATCAGTCACAGTGGCGTAGGTGTATTCACTTTTTGACGTCTTCTGAAGCTTGAATATTTACACCAACCGCTTTCTTCAAACTACTTATTCTGTCATGAAACTTTGGCTACTCTGAAATAAATCTTTTTCTCTCCACTTGTTCTTTGTATGCCGCTGTGAAGTATGGCAACTTGAACCGACAGACTTCTGTTTTTATTTAGCTTGTCTGTTTCTGTCTTTGCGAACAATAAAGTCTGTGTCCCATGAGTCTAAGGATATTAGGTGATGATTTTGGATGACATGAAAGCCTGATTCATGGAGGGATTCAAACCAGAGACCTCGAGGTTACCGGCCCATCGTCCTATGAGTTTATTTTACGTTGAAATCTGTCAAGAGACTCATTGAAATGTTTTATGTTAACACGAAATGGCTGTCTCATCATATCTGGTTTTCAGTGGTTTTTTAAGATTTTTAATAAAATTACGCTGAAAAACGTTTTGCACTAAACAATTTTGAACATTATCAAGTGACTATCTGAGATAGCCGTAGTTTGGCAGACTAGTATTTATACTAGGTGGCGGTTAAAGGTGAACTGAAAATTTGGATCGAGGTCGGATTCGAACCAGCGACCGCCGGGTTTCCGGCCCGATGCTCCAGCAGCTGAGCTGCAGAATGCAACTGCTCACCATATTTTTATTTTACTTCAATCACCATGGGTTTTGCTCGAACACTTTGTGAATTGATGATGCGTTATTACTGCTTGATCGTATCCACATTAGCTGTTTAGTCAGGACTTCTGCTAAACTACGGCTATCTCAAATAGTCAAATGCTAATCAATATGATGCTCTCCCTTCCCTCTAACTGAATTACATTTGGATTAGGATGAGAAGTCCTGACTAGACCGCCAGTGTCAATACGATCAAGCGGTAGAAACGCGTCACCAATTCACATGGTGTTCGGGAAAAACCCTTGATGACTGAAGTAAAATAAAAATCTGGTGAGCGGTCGGACTTCGTATTTCAGTTGATAAATCATCGGGCCGGAAACCCGGTGGTCGCTGGTTCGAATCCGGTCGTGGTCCAAATTTCCATTTCACCTTCAATCATCACCCAGTATAAATTCTGAATATTTCAATCGCTAAACTGTATACAGTCTTCAAAATAACCGACTCAAGTTTTATATTCACGAATTTCTTGTGAAAACCATCGTTAATCATGTATGCACAAATGTTGAAGCAGTCCGAAACTTCCTGCACTGATGATGATTCCCTGTAAGAAATGGAACTTGAAGAAAGAAACTCAACTAAAATATCAGCATTATCATGGATTGATCTGCTGTATGAGTTCTGTTACTGCTTAGATGTTTATATAGAGGTAAATATTAGTCTTCAAGTGCTACTTACTCACCTCTAAACTTTTGAGTTGATCGAAATTATAACATCTTAATAAAAAGAGATTTTATCGTCATAATCGCTGAAAAATATTCAAAAATTTCCACTCCACTCACTACTTTGGTATCCCAGAATCCATTTCAAACTATCCTATTGCAAGGTTTTTGTCCTTATTAGCTAACCAGCCAAACTGAAGTATCAGAAAACGAAATGGCAAGACAATGAAGTAGTTTTTCCCTGATGAAGGCTTTGTTAACATGAAATATCATATCAGAAAATGTCATGTGATTAAGGGTATCATGTATTCACTTTCATTGATACCAGAAAACTTAAAAGTATAAATCCTAGCTCCTTCCAGGGTCATTTCTTGCTAAAAGAATCTGATTTTTTTTGAGTTTACTACGTTAAATGTTCTGAAATTTATATCTCGACCAGATGTTATTAGTGCATACATATCTGTTTAACATGAATTCGTATTTTCAATACACTATGGTAGGTTGAGTTGTAGATACAATGAATGGTTACTGGAGAGTGACCAAATCCATATTATCGTTTACTAAATCCTAACTGAATTCTATCTATCAGTTTAGGTTGTGGTTATCAATGTTAGAGACTCACTTCCTGGTGCATTTTGATTGGTAGACTTCAGTGAACAATCAGTACATTTCATCTAACCTTGTAGGAGGTCAGTTCTGGCTTGAATAGCTCTTTGGTAACGTCTCTGATTGCATCACTGATGTGATGTGAGTTCAGATCTTTCCAGTGATATAAAATCCCTTGAAGTTTCACATATACGTGAGTGATAAACAGGGCGAAGACGTTGCTTTCTGTCAACCACTTCCAACGTGTTAACATTGCGTCTTACCAACCATCAAGGCTTATGGACTAGACAGGAATTTTAACTATTTATTATTTGAGGGAACTAGGGATCCCCTGAATAAAAGCACTCAAAAACAGATAGCTTTCAATGAGTTATATCAATATAACTTCGAACCTTGTCATTCAGAAACGAAAGACAGACAAATAAAATCAATGTAGAACGTCGTACAGAAATGCGTCGGTTGAAGTTGTCACATATCGCTTCGTCTTTTCTTCTCATTTACTTCCTTACTATACCTTCTTCTTGTCATGCTGTGCATTTTGTTATTTTCTAGGTCTGGGGTTCGTACTCAGCTTTATCTACTTTGGCATCAAAAACCTTCACATAGTGCTAAAATGGTTAATGGCCTAATCACATAGTTTTCAATCATTAACCGTTTCATTGTAAACTTTTTTCAATTATTTTCATTTTCGTGAATATTTGTTTGTGTCAATTTCCTCTTGCATCTTTTTAGTTATATTCAACTGAATTGGCTGTAACCATTTATCGTCAAACACAAAAACTTCACTTACCTAAACATCCATTTTCAACTATCTCCTCGTCAACATCATCCTCATCATTTCATGGTCATAGTAAATCATCGAATAAACTACAACAAGTGAATAGTCAACAACCTCAACAACAGTTGCAACAGCAACCTCCACCATTGAAAAGATTTTCATCACAACCACAATCTCAACCATTTTTACCAACAACACATACACCATCATCTCCATATCAAGCATATGCTGTTGTTCCTTTATCTAATTCATTTGGATCATCGGAGGAACATGATCTCTCTCATCATCATTTAACTAATGGACAACAAATTCCATCAGTTCACTTGAGTTTGAACACCCTGAAATCATTTAGGTGAGTTTGAATTAAGTAGTATTTGGTTAAAGCTCTGACTTCTTGTTGACTTAAGTCCTTGACTTTTGAGCAGTTAATCTTGGGATTAAATTTTACTTCACACTTCTTCAGCCTGGTTGATCAAATAATTATAAACTCCCAGTCGGTTGATAGTTGCTACCTAGACGTGGTGGTCAGGCTTGAGGTCCTACCAAACCAGATAGGTATATTGAATATTGGTAAGATAAAAGCAGTATTATCATAATGTAAATTACTACGCTGTGATGGAGGTCGTAGGGCGAAGTCGTACTGCTGGCTGGCTAGGGATGTGATAGCATTAAGATGTTTCTTGTCGGTGACCAGCAGCACCACACTGATGCTGCCTTTCCTGGATTCGAATAAAATAAACTAAAATCTCAAACTTCTGAAGTAACCATGTGTGACCGGCCTTAAGAAACTATCTCGTGGACTTTTTAGTCACTCACTACCATTCTTTCAGGTAACTTAAGAAGTACTAACGGTTCGCAAAGTGCGCAGCTGGGAAAGGTCAACCGTCCTTATAACTCTATCATTACTCAAGTCCCCCCAAATCATTACCAACCTTCCATATCCTCTTATTCTAACCTTTATTTGTCTCTTGGTCAATATTCTTACTTCATCTTCAATTTTCCCCAGTTCTGCAGCTCTTGATAACGACTTGCGCTCCAAATTATGCATGAGGCTTTTCAGTATCCACACCTTCCGTCAAGCTTCACTAGCCAGAACTCTGACATCTCGAGTCATAGATATGTACTGTGTATTTGGAAGGTGCATATAGGACCCAACTGAAGTTATTTAGTTATTCACCTGGCTAACATTGTAGTCTGCAAAAGTCACCTGAGTTTCTGAAGATTTGATGGTTAGCTTTTGTGGTTTTGAAGATGTAGGAATGGCAAAATTACACTACTCGACTGGATTCCAGTTAAAAGTTGCTGTTCGATAAAACGGTCCAATGAAGACTAAAGGGAACAGTAAAACTCGTCGCTTTCTTTTTTTAATCGCTGCTCATGCACTTACTGACTGCAGTTCAGATGAAGTGAAGGATAATTTCTACTGACAGATGTTTGGTCTCCGAGTGAAGGCCAAACTCATATGTGGTTGTCTTAGCTTGTGACTTCAATGCACAAGAGAATGGGCTAAGTCAGATAGAAAAGTTATTTGGTGACACTCAGAATCCTAACCGAAAGAAAAGATAATGGTAGTTAACTGCTACAACTGTGTTTAGACATTCATCTCTTTCTGGCCAGCATGAGCTTCAGATAAAAAAAGAGATGCATCGTCTGACGTGGCGTCCATTGACCTCAACTCAGCGGTGGACACATAAACCACACTACCATCAGCCATCCCCAGAGAACGTTGCTGGAAGGTTTCTGGTAATACTGGCGAACATGTTTGAACAGTAATCGTACGTTGGTTCGAGCATGCATACGTTGTTGGATGTAAAAAAACTATGAAGCCCGATCCAAAAACATCGCGATGATTGTACCAAAGTTGTTTTCAACACATATCTCTGTGCTACTGCATGTGTAATGCCATTTATGCCTTTAGAGACACATGATGCATTTCTTAGTGCCTATGTTGTGCCAACTGCAAAAACTGATTAGTCTTTGGTAAAATATAAACTTTGCAAAAGTTAGATAGAATACTAAGGAGTAAAATCTGAAAATATTCCAAACGTAGACGATATAAATCTATCAGTGTTCACAGGAGCAGCTTTTTCTTCATGGTACCAGTTTCATGACTGACCCAGATATAACTGATGAACAGAATTACTAAGCTTTGTTTTACTGGGATTGTATTCCATACCGTTGCACTTATTTAATTATACCCTTATGTACTATGTAACTAACATAGAAATTTCTCACCTAATTGTTCTATCATAGATGAGATATGCTGCAAACGTACAATAGATAAATAAATACAGCCGTATTATCTTGTCCAGTTGTAATCCATCAATAGAATAAGACGCAGTTTCCCATTATGCACTTGATCATTGGTAGATATGTGAACATTCTCATTGATGTTCCTCACATGAGACGTGAATGAATGAAGTATTTCACTAACTCGTTCAGTAGATTTTTTTCCTTTGATAAGCGTTAGTTCGCATTCCACAAGCATAAAAAGGCTTCTTTGTTCTTCAGAAAACGCTTCATTCTGGCTGTAACAAGATCTTTTTTTTAAATGAGGTGTACACAGTTGCTTTTATCAGGTTGTTTGTAAGCATTTCACCCAGCAGAAATGGTGATAAACATTGCTAGTTAAAGAATATCGGCTTCATACAGCTGTAGAGTTTCAAAGAGATAGTCTGCACTAGCACATTGAACTGTATATTCAAGGAACTGTAAAAATGGGCGTTTGATAATACATTTCCAAAACTTTATTTTTGCATATACTACTTCATGGTTAAACTTCCCTGACGTCTTCACATCACCATTGCAATTAGATGATATCATCTTTCATATTACTGAAATCTATCTGTGCTTTCATTGATAGGATTAGACTGCAAACGAGTGATTTTTCTGTCTGTCTATCTCATCAAACAAGACGATTTTACAGGATATCTGTGCTATAGATTGCTGGTACACGTGGAATAATGACGCACTGATTCAAGCACAGCTGTCTCAACCAGTGAATACTTAGAACCGAACAGCTGAGTTTTTCCATTGTGTGTAGTCTATTTCACATATCTGTACATGAACATCAAGCTATTTGGTATAAAGTACAACTATAGAGTGTACCGGAGAACTTTTTTTGATATTCAGTCAGTAGCTGGAGTTGGTGATTTCCTGAGAGATGAGCATAATTTGTAAGGATACAGAACACTCATATGAGCTGAAACTCATTAGGACTCACTCTCTTCGACAAAATCTCTGCATGGATACAAAAGGCTAGGTTGACTTTCGCTGAATTGCACCATCTGTGGCGATGCTGTGATATCCGACTAAGTGTCGAGTGTACCGTACTGCATTTCGCTCTGTTCTACTCTATGGCTGTGAAACATGGCTACTGAAGGTGGATGATATGAGAAAGTTTCAGGCGTTTAACCACTGTTGCTTTCGTAACATAGGCTGTGTATCGTAGTGTCACTATGTCAGTAATACACAAACGAAAAGTAGAGTCTTAGGGAGGAAAGGAAAGTCAGTTGATGCGGTTGCGAACTTTCATCGAGTGAAACGTCTGGATCAGATGTTAGGCATGCCTGGTCACCGTCTGCCTCATAGTATAATGTCAGCTGAGGTATTTTCAGGTAGGAGAAAAATTCGGGGTGACCAGACTAAAACATAATATTAGTGTATGAAGTCTTTAACTGTTTGTGAAAGCCGTGTAGGGAGATGCAGACTAGCTGGTCGAGGTTCACGTAACAAGAGAAACCAGTGGTTGGAAACCCTAGGTGACATGGTCCAGAGTCTATGTCAGTGGTACAGATGTATGCACATATTATCATCATCTTAGTTGCTATATTAAATTCAGCAGTTTCTCACTCTTCCTTCCTCTCTTTTACAACTTTCTACTGCTTTTGATCGATTCTTCTTTTTTTCTTTCCTTCTTCATCCTTTATCTTATTACTTTGCTACTCGTTGTGTTGATATGATGTGTTGCAACGTGGACCATTGTGCAGAAATACTTGATCTTATATTAATATTGATTGACTGACCCTGAAACAGCTTCCAAATTTGAAGATGACACTCAATGCAGATATGCAAACTACACAATGTCGACTTGTCACTTCAGTCCACATAGGAGTCGTTTCATCCCTACCAAGGAACTATCTTTTGCTTTGAAACAGCATTATTAAAGGTTTTGTTAATGCTTTGATTGACAAGCAAGTTGTCTTCTTTTTTTTCAATCTTTCTAGACAACAAGCTGAATTTCTAGCGTACACTATGTTAGATAGATATGAGACATCGGATGGGGGTTATGAAAAGATTCTGCCAACATGTATACCAAATCAAATCAATACAACAACAACAACAACAGCTGGTGGCGTAAATATTACAGCACCAATGACTTCTGTCGGAGGTGCTTTCTCTTTACAGCGTGCCAGTAATCCTAATCACAATCAACATCATCATCAACATCCTTCTCAGTCTCCTGTTAGTCCTGGTCTGTTTTCTATGCAATCAGCTATTACATCATCGAACAGTTTGTTGGATAATAACAGTGTCTATGCTAATTCATGGTATGTTAGTTTAAATCGTTCACGACCTAATCCTACATTACGCTCATTTAATGAAATCGGTGAGCAATTTCAGCAACAACAACAACAACAACAACAACAAATACCTTCAATGACCAATGTGACAGGCTCGATTCCATCAGTTAATTATCATTCAAATCATCAACAACAGAATGTACGATCAAATGGCTTGAACAATAGTCTACAGTTAATAAATCCACAGATACGTTCATTTTTGAAACCACATTCTCAGATAAATACAAATCAGAATATTAATAATACACCTGGAAATATTGCTGGTGGCGGTGGTGGTGGCTGGGAAACTCCAGATTCAGGTGCTGGTAGCAGTAGTATCAATGAAGTCTCCTCACAAAATCAACAATCGAATTGTTGCCTTAATCCACCCTTTTTATTATCCTCTTCATCATCTTCATTGCTATTCGGACATTTTTATCAAACATATGGAATAAATAATTACAATACTACTGCTAATACTAACATGGATAATAATAATAATAATAATAAGTTGAATGGTCAATCAGATTCATTCGTTTCACATTCACTACTGGATAATCTTCCACCCTTATGGACATTCTTATCAAAGTCATCAACATCCTTTTATGAATCTGATTTAGACTCATCTGATTCATCAGATGTACCTGGGAATTTAATCAAATCTACTGATATTATAACACATACACATACTACTAATCACAATAATAATAATAATAGTCAAGGATTACACCATCTCCAACACCAACACAGCCAAAATTCTCAATTGCATAATCCTAATCACAATACTAGTAACAGTAATATTCATTTATCTAATTGGTCCCGATTAGAAGAACGCAAACTACGTACAGTTTATTGTCAATTAATACAAACATATAAACGTTTAAAGTCAATGCTAATTGATATACCTAATCTAGACATGTTCATTAATATTGATGGTGTAGTAGAAACATCGTCTATCAGTTATGGAGGTGGAGATAATAATATTGGTGTAGTCAACAGTAAATTATCAACAACAATACCATCATCTACAAGTTCAATGCAACAAAAAGTTGATTCAGATCTACTGAATCGTTTAAACCAATCGAATGTAAGCTTTATTAAATTTTAATGTAAATTCAAGGAGAAAGTTAAATTCGAATAAAAACTTATCTCATAGATGAGTTTGAACTATTCAACTCTAAATTATTATTAATTTTACATCACATGAAGAAATGACGCGTAGTTAGTTGTTCAAAACTGGAATTAAAAATCCAAGCTTTCCTATGACTCTTATCACTGTTCTTATATATGTCAATTAGCTTACCAAACAAGCTTAGCTTAGACAGCTCAATTATTATTATTATTATTATTTTCCCCATTGATTCCTAGTGGAACATAGGGATTCAGTAGCACATCTCCATTGTACTCTCTTCTCTGTAGTCTTTTCAAACTGGCTCCACTACTTCCCACAAACTTCCATTTATCCCTCACACCATCTCCTCCATGTCACCCTCACCTCGAACGCCAAACTCGTCGTTTCCTTTTTACATTCCACTCAACAACCTGACATGGTGCGTCATGTTCCCAGTCGGCCTTCTCAGTGTATGCCAATTCAATCCATCTCCACTTCCTTCTTCTGCATATTTGTTGGGTGATGGGTTCTTGGTTGGTTCGTTGCCAGCCAGCCAGAGTTCCTTGTTGCTTATTCTTATTATTCTCGCCATCCATCTGATCTTCAGTATCGAGCCAATGTAGGCAGTTGTTGATGAATATCTGTAGTTTGTCGGAAGTACTTTCCGTGACACGCCAAGTTTCGGACCATATAGAAGCACTGACTTGACTGGATTAGTGTTGAAAATCCGGATGTTGTTCACACTTTATGCTGAGTGCAGTAGATCTCCACACTGGTTTCAGATTAATGAAAGCCTGTGTTGTTGCCTTTCCGATGCTGGTTTTGAGATCCTCGTCTGTGCCGCATGTAGTTGAAACGATGCTGCCTGGCAGGTAGGTAGGTGAAAGAGACTACTTCTTTTAGACTTTGCAATTATTAAACTGTAATTCTTATTTTGGAATTGTGTAACCAACTTGTTTTTTGAATTATCTTACACTGTCTTGGGAGGTTGATTTGTCCTAGACGAATGTTCATATATATCTGTAGGCAATCGACTGAGTTTAATTCCCCTAGGAGGGAAATTTCTCATTTACAGACAGACGTATATACAGACGAAATCAACGTAGAACCTCACACACATGTACACCCACTCAAGTTGCCACACTTCACAGTAGTAGACAAAGAAAAAGTCGGTGGAATAAGATCGATATCAACATCGATAAAGTTTTATGACAGAATAAACAATTTGAAGATAATGGATATTCAAGCTTTAGACTGCGTCAAGGAGTGAATTCATTTGCATCATTGTGACCGTTTTCAGTCATAGCACCAACAGTTCTATCATTTCGAGAAGCCCAGCCAGGTAGTCTACATCTCCTCACACAACTCAGACCAAGAGTCAGCGACTTCATGGACTGGTGCCGCATCTTGGTCTGGTCATCCTGAATCCTCTTGTGGCCTAATCCATAATGAAAAATCACAAAATCCCTACAAACCCTCAAATTAAATTCATCTAGTGCTCATTGGTGACTAGCTTCGAGAGATGATTCCTGGAGTTCGAATGAGAATTCGTGACTAGTGGGATCAACCAAGTCAAACATGAGGACAGTTACTCATCGACGACATTGAATGTAGATCGCGCTATATCTTGAACTGACAGAAATATGGACCACTGGACTCCGACCCAGCGGGTCAATGATAACGTACTGGCCACAGAACCTGAAGGTCCCGAGTTTGATCGCTGGCGGGGACATGCGTGTGCACTGCTGAGGAGTCCCATACTAGAACGAAGTGCTCCCAGGTTTCCAGTGTTCCTCAAGCTGATGTCAGTCTATGATAAATATCAACTTGAGAAATCACTGTTACCCCCCAAATTCAACTAGTTCAACCTGCTCCACCAGTATTGCACGTCAAGGTGGGCGGTGGCTTGGCATGCTCAGTACATGTCTGAGCCATCTCAGTCGACTACGGTTCACAACCTCATCAATCGATTTGCATATCTTATCTAGTAACCTTCTCCTTACCTCAACATTGCTCGCATACTTCCTGTATTTCTTTATTTATATTATTACACCATCTACAAATTCCTTTCAGTCAACATTCGGTTCAATGGAACTTCCGATTGTAAATTTTTGTGGGCTTTGTGACCGTAAGACTGTTTTGTTAACGTGCTCAAGAAACTGAGTCAAGACGGTCACTGAGATGTCGGTCTATGAAGAATCAAAAGTGGAGCAATTGCAGTAATAATAATAAATGCAACCAAGATAACAGTTTATGAAGGAAGTATATTTGTAAAGTCTCAACCAAGGAAAATAGCGAATTTCTAACATTTCATGACCTCCTGGAACTAACTCTTCATTAAATAAGACTTATGCACTAATATTTAAACATGTAACAACTTGTATAGGTCTTATTCTCTGAAGAAGCAGTTCCGACGAGGTCATGAAATGCCAGTAGTTCATTTTTTTACTTTATTTACTTCATATATTTTTTCAATAAAACATTTACCCAACGCTTAACATATTCACTTCCATCAGGTCACATTCTGATGCTGGTCTAAAAGATAACTCTTGCACAGTTTACACTGCCATATTAAAGTTTGAGATTGAAAGTCTTGGAATTTATCAAATTCACGCTTTACAATCATCATTTATTCTCTCTTAGTTTACTTGTTATTTGTTGATACTTGTAATTCTCCGTTGTTATACTGGGTTGAATCGATTGACCTCTGTTGGTATATGAGCTCCTACGCGGATGCTTCTATGTTGTCTCCATGTTTGTTGTTATAAGTGACTTAGTTTTGGCTAGTAGTAGAATTCAGAATGTACGTTTCGTCCTATTTGGGACTCGTTAGATGGATGTACCTACACCTCAGGGAGTGATGTTGTTCCTAATGAGACTCGAACCTCGTCTCTATAGCTTCAAATGTTAAAGCATTATTCACTAGGCAACTGAGGTACAATGGTTACTTCTTGTAAAACGGGTTTTGGTTATTATTAGTTGTTGATACTTATAGGCCATAGTGATCTAGTGGATAACTCTTTGGCGTTTGAAGCGATGAGTACGAAGTCACAGTCTCAGTGGGAACAATATCACTTCGGTTCTGGTACATCTAGCGGAAGAGTCCCAAACAAGACGAAACACGCGTCCTGGAATCTACTGCTAGCCGCAGTCAGTCCAATTAGAGTTTACTTATAGTTGTCATTTTGCTTTGTATTAATTAATTTCTGAAATATAGAAGTTTATTGCACTGAAGGTTTATATCGAATGCCAAGATATGCAATACAACTCATCAAACACTTTCATGTTCGTGCGACAGACGGTGAACCACATGTATTGTGTGAAGACTAATGGTACTGCCAGACTGCTTGAAGTCTCAGAAGATGGAATGGGATTTTAATGTGATACACTCGCTAAAAGTCGATTACTTGGATTGATGAGTGAAATCTTCATTCTTACATAAATTGGGGACTTGGTCATTGGTAACAGATATCATCAGTTCATTGAAGTTCTGTTATTCATGATTTCAAAATACTGAAGCTAGGAAATGAGTTAAGTTGAGTTTAAGCATTAGTTTCTAGTTAATAAAAAGTTGTACATTGACTTAAGCACATAAGTTCAGTCTGCATAGCTCGCTTCACCTAATTTGACTTGAGTAACTAGGCAGTATCACAGATCTTCAGGCACTTGTTGTGACTGATAGTCTAACATACAGACTTGCACCAGGCTGGTGAGTTGCATACACATCTAAAATGTAAGCTAGTTAGTATTCTTGTGAAAATATATTCATTTATATAGTTGAGACATGTCAAACGAATGCACACGTAGTACCTTCTTCAGCATAGAATATATTGACTGAAATCAAGGTATTGTGAGTGCAATTTCGAAGTGATCATATTAGACTGAGAAATAGAAGCTGGAACTTTTAGTCTGGGTAATGAATGAAGTTTTAGGTAAAAAAAAATAGCTGACTTGCGTCATCTTTGGCACTGACTGGAAAGATATTCGACTATCTATCAAAGGACGAGTATACTGTGCTGTAGTCAATTCTGTCCTATCGTACGCCTGTGAAACATGACCGTTAATAGTAGAAAATATGGAGCATTCACAGGGTTTTCATCGCAGATATCATTGCCTCATTGGTTGCGTTTGGTGGAATCACCGTGTCAGCAATGCTGAGGTCAAGTGAAGGATACTAGGCAAGATATACAAGTCAATTGATGAGATTGTGAACTGTAGTCAACTGAAATGGCTCGGATATGTACTGCATATACCGAACCTCTGCCTACCTCGACGTGTAATGCTGGTGGGGAGAAGTTGGATTGGGTTGGAAGAGAGGGTTTAGGGTGACCAGACCGAGACGTAGCACCAGTCGATGAAGTATCTAACTCTTGGTCTGAGTTGTGTGAGGAGATGTAGACTACCTGGCTGGGCTTCTCGAAATGATAGAACTGTTGGTGCTATGACTGAAAACGGTCACAATGATGCAAATGAATTCACTCCTTGACGCAGTCTAAAGCTTGAATATCCATTATCTTCAAATTGTTTATTCTGTCATAAAACTTTATCGATGTTGATATCGATCTTATTCCACCGACTTTTTCTTTGTCTACTACTGTGAAGTGTGGCAACTTGAGTGGGTGTACATGTGTGTGAGGTTCTACGTTGATTTTGTCTGTCTGACAGCTGAATGTCTAAAGTGATGAGATGGTTTGAGAGGGATACTGGTGATCTGAATTTACTAACTTTTTGAAAATCCTACCCTGAAAACTGAATACCATACTCTTCAAAATGTTTTGATCATGATATTTACTTGACTTCCATTTTCAGTGTATTCATTATGTTCGCAGAAAGGTTGCCGTTAGTGTGTCAATTTGAAACACTACCATCTCACTCTATTTTATTGTTGGATTTTGGGATAGGGGGGTTTGAAAGTAGCAGACAGGACGTCATAGGGTTTCGCTCATAAACGTCTACATAAAATTACAGGCGTATGG